CATCTGCAATCGTTATCCATTACAGTTTCGCATTTACTTTCAATCTTTTGGACTTTTCTAATTTTAATCCCCCACACCACCAAAAAGAAAACAAACAAATTCAATCTGTGAGCTCCTATGTTCTTGTGCTGAAACGGTGAATTAATCCTTTAAATACCAAATATATTTTTCTCACTCCCCATATCAAACAAACTCAAAACACATACACCTCTCATAATCCATCAATCAATAATTCCCCTTCCTTCAGTTAATACTTATTTGTTTGTGTTGTTGTGTCCCGTGTTGTTACTTGATTTTGTTTGTGGCATTATTTTGTGCGGGATGATGTCGTTGGTGTGTTGTGGTAGATGCCAATAGGGGGAAAAGATGAGGACACGACTCTTCATTGGAATCAAATGCAGAAGGAGGGGTTGTTGCAACACCTCGTAGAGTATAACTGTAAATACCACGGTAGGAAACCGGACCAAAAAACTTTGGAAGACTGGGCTACTGAACTACAGAAACATTTTACGGCAACCAAGGTTCAACAGATGAAATTGCGTCTAAAAGGCAAGTTCGATAAGGAGGTTATACTACGCAAAAACATTGGCCTTGGTTAGGATCCTGTGACAGGCGCTGTGACATGTACGGACGAGTATTGGGATGATTTTGCTAAGGTAAATATCCGGTGAATTCATTTTCCCTTTTTTCATTATTTAGCATCATTCATGACATGTGTTAAACGTAAGTTTGCTTATGTTGTTGTTCTTTGTCACACAGAACAAGAAGTGGGCCAACGCTGTAAAGAAGCAGCCTCTAAAAAATGTTGACATGTACTACGAGGCTTTTGGTAGTACCCGGGCAAGTGGAGCTTTTGGGAAGGGTTTGGAAAAACCTACCACCGAGCATGTGGACACAATTCCCATCTCGGATGAAGGAGTTGAAAGGGGGGCGACATTGCATTCGTTAGCCAGCGACGACGGTTTTGTCACTACGATGCGAGCTGGTTTGAATACTGCCAGGAGGGGCTTGAACGTTGCGTCCTCTTCTAAGGCAATTGGAAAGAAGCCTATACGCAGTTACAAATGACCGTTTGGAGATCCAGAGGCTAAGGCACTCATTGGACGGCCTGTGGCATTTATAGAAAGTAGGAATAATAGCAGAGCAACTAGTTCCAGCGCTACTCAGAATCTGACAACCCTTTATGTTATGCAGCAGTGTCAAGTGCTTGTCAAGGAAATGGATCTTGATGATGAAAATGTTGTAACATTTTTGGAGGCCATTGCGTGGTATCCGCACATGCAACAGATTTTTGTGGATATGACAAAGACGTAAAGGATTTCTTTCGTGACAAGGACTATTAACTCCAAAATGAATCAAACAAGTCAGCCTTTCTCGATGCCTAATCCAGCCATGGCCTCCAACTTCATACAGCCCCCCCCCCCCGTTTGTAAACTTCATGTCCCCTCCCAACTTTTTTCAACAACCTCCTAACTTTGGCCAACCGCAAGTACCCAGTTTTTCACAATAGCCGCCCAACGTGCAACCATAACTCCAACCATTCCAAAACATGACCCCAAATGTTAACCCCCAAACCCCTAACTTTCAATGTCAACCACCCTATTACGTGCCTAGTTTTCCACCTAACTCCGGTCCCTTTGGTGGAGAAACCAATGATGACTAGCTACGGGTTACTTAACACTTTTTCTTTACTAGATAGGGATGAACAATTTTCATAATTATGTTGCTTTTTAACTATGTTGTATTGATTTATTGAGTCGATGTACTTCCAAACAGTAGCCCCCATTTGGTTTTTCTTTCAATTTATGATATGATTTATAAAGTCGATGTACTTGTTGTGAAATGGGCACCTGCCCAGTAGTGACTTTTCAATACTTTGACATAATGTTATTGCCCAATTTCAACCTCTTTTATCGTACAGGTGACCGCTATTGTGACATATTCATCCAATAAGTCATAACGTGGAACGAAGGGCCTCCGAATGCGTCGCCTAACAACACATTGAGCGATGACTTTGATGATGAATATGAGGAAGCTGTCGTTGCAGATGTCCTATGGTATTACCACATCTACATGGAGAGACTCCCACCTCGACCTAAGCACACCTCCGCGTTAACAGGTATTATGTGTGTTGATTACTTGTTTGATGGCCATGATGACATAATTCAGAATAAGATTAGGATGAGCAGTGATTGTTTTAAGCGTCTTAGTTCACTACTAGAACTTAAAGGATATTTGAGACTCATTAGAAATATGAATGTGGACGAGCAGCTTTTTATCTTCCTATACATTATGTCCCAAAGCCAGAGCAATAGGGAATCACATGACCAATGGCAGCATTATGGATCCACCATTTTCAAATACTTTGAGGCTGTATTGGAGGTAATATATAACCTGCGCCATGATTTCATAACACCCCTGAATTTTAACATTATTGATCCAGTCATTGCGGCAAATGGAAGCAAGTATTTGTCATGGTTTCAGGTATTTCATTAATACTGACTCATATGCTTATCGACTTACTTGACGTAATTGGTAACAGTTGTTGTTAATTGATTACAAAATTGTGTTAGAGCTCTTGACGGGACTCACATCCCTTGTGTTCCACCACCCGGTAACCCCGAAGTATGGAGGAATAGGAAGGGTTGCTACTCCCAAAATGTGTTAGGGGTTTGTTTATTTGACATGAAGTTTACTTACATATTAGCTGGATGGGAGGGCTCTGCCTATGATGTGCGCGTTCTTGCATCCGCAACGGAGACGTCAGAAAAAAATTTCCCATATCCACAGCCTGATATGTGAACAATGATCCTTGCTATACATTGCGTTATAAAACAAATATTGTTGGTTCATTTTACTTTTTAACTATGTTGATTGCTTCCAATATGATCGCTTGATAGCACTAAAGACTTGTCCGTACTTAATTATTGATTTGTAAGGGATAATATAGGGAAATACTACCTTGTAGACTCTGGCTACGTGAACAACGATTGTTTCTTGGTGCCATACATGGGGAGCACATATCACCTTCAAAAGTATAGGACAAGACGTGGTCATCCTCAAAGTCAGCGTGAGTTGTTCAATTACACGCATTCGTCCCTAAGGAATGCTATTGAGCGCACTTTCAGTGTTTGGAAAGCAAGGTTCCGCATACTCAAGTGCATAAATAATTACCCAATATAGAAACATGTACAAATTCCTATTGCTTGTGTTGCGCTTCACAATTTCATACATATGTACAACTATAACGATGATCTACTAAACCAATACACAAGAGATGGAGTACCAGTTATTGAAATTAATCCAGAGAATGCAGATCAAGATGTTAATTAGAATCACAATCCTGATCGGGCAATGGAACAGAATCATAACTTCGCAATCATAGACAAATGAATATTTTGAGGGACGAGATGGCTACTAGCATGTGGGGGGCATTGGAAGCATTTCGCAATCGGTAGTTACATATTTGTTTTGTAATTTCGACGACCTTATTAATATGGGTTTGTTATGTATTTGCTCGCTACACCATTAATGCTAAACTTATGGACATTATTTTATTTATGAATGTAGGTGCCTATAGTTTCTCTCTTTAAAAAAATTCATGTCAAAACTTGTTAAAATTGGAGTTATGTTTTTGTCAAAATGAACACCAAATTCAAGTTCAACATTCACAAATTGTCCACGTGAACACACAACTCAAAGTTCAAACACAATTCCAATGAAACTCACTTTTTGAACTATAATCTTGAATTTTAAGATGCTGAAACGAACGGCCCTAAGAAAATAAAAGAAATAATAAAAGAACGAAGAGATTTAACGTGGTTCGAAAATATATCTACAACTACAGACTAGGAAAAGAAAGATAATTCACTAGTAAGGAGCACTATGAAGAGGGCTTCATATAAATAGATATTACAATACACATAATCGGATAAGTTACCCAAAACTAAAATAAAGAAACATAAGTCAAAACTATAAATAAAGATACTTTCCCTAATATGACACTTAGGAAGAAGCGAAAACAAATTAGAATCGAATGGTCGTTACAGAAAATTAGAAGTGAAGCGATCATAAAAATATAATAATAATAACGGCAAAAAATTAGCAAAAAAAAAAGGATAAAAAGGAGGATTAGGAAAAATAAAAAACCACTTCGACACAATAATAGATGAAAAACGACAGTAGTGATACAACAACAAACAAAAACGAAAGCAGAATATTAAATGACACTAAAAGGTGTAAACACGAAGAAACAACAACGACATGAGATCGAAAGGAAAAAAAAAGGAAGAATAACACAATTGAAAACGACAAAAAAGGGAACGATGATGATGAAATTAATAACAACAATCATCTCAATAAGCCAACAAATTATGGAAGATAAAGTAATGGTAAAATTGACAACCGCGTAGACAACAATTGTAAATTAATGGGTTGTTTAGAAGCTATATTCAAATCCAAATCATAATTTTATTATAGTGTTTTTTATTTTACAAAGAGTTTAAATTTTAAAATTTCTTCTCTTACAAAGTTTCTCTCAGTAAATATGAACCCAAATCATGATTTATGTATACTTCTTAAATAGCCCTAAGACACTACGAATAAACGACAACAAAGTACAAACAAAACGACAAATAACAAAAATTCAAACAATAATAATCAAGATGGAATAATTGATGATAAACGACAAATAACAAAAATAACAATAAGAAACAAGATGGAATAATTGATGAGAAATTCAGATGCATGACCTTCGCATAAAAGTTAAATATAGAATTTCCGTCTCAGTTTTAATTTGCGAGATAAACAAGTTAACTACTAGCTTACGTGGATTTCCACTTGTGTGGGTTTGGGCTTTTCTTCATCTGATTGTTTTCAATTGGGCTCTCAAGACAACCAGGCCAGGCCTCAATTCTGTTCGAGTCCACACGTGCGAATCGACGACGCACGTACAACTGCTGATTCCTGCCTCCCAAGATTAGGGTTTTAGGAAGCACAGGTATATAATAACTGCAGCCCCGCCGCTACGAAAATTCAACCTCCATTTCCGGCGTCTTCTTTCAAGTTTCAAGGACTGAATCACTCAACTTGATACTCATGGGTAAGAAATAACCAGATCTTTGATATTTCTTTCTCCATTTTGTAATTGAATCTGTATAAATTTGAATTTTTTTTTTCCATTTTTTCTTTTTTGATTTTGGGTTGTTTTCCAATGCAAAAGCGAGGATTAAGGTTCACGAGCTTAGGAACAATACGAAGGCCGAGTTGCAGAACCAGTTGAAGGATCTGAAGGCGGAGCTGGCTCTCCTCCGAGTGGCTAAGGTCACCGGCGGTGCGCCAAACAAGCTCTCCAAGATGTAAACTATTTCTATACATCTAATTTTGTCAATGTATATGTATATGTATATGTGTATACGTCTTTAACGTGTTTGATGATTTGCCTGAATGGTGGGATTATGCAGAAAGGTGGTGAGGCTTTCGATTGCGCGGGTCTTGACGGTGATTTCGCAGAAGCAGAAGGCGGCTTTGAGGGAAGCCTACAAGAACAAGAAGTTTTTGCCCCTCGATCTCCGCCCAAAGAAGACCAGGGCCATCAGGAGGCGTCTCACCAAGCACCAGGTACTGATTTTCCTGATTTTCTTTGCTTTTAGTTTGGATATCGTTCTAATTTCTAAATTAATAATAAACTATAAAGCACAATGCTAGTCGAATTGTGGAACTTTCTTGGCTCTGAATGGAATTTAGTTCTAATATATAATTTGTGAAGTTGACACATCGATTATTTGGATTTAGGGATGTGATTTAGTAGAATTTTAAATTCAAATCAGTTTGACATGACATTTGCCTTCTTTTCAAATAAGAAGAAGGTCGCATTATCTTTTTTTTTTTTGCTAATCTGATTATGTCAAATTGTCTTAGGCGCCGGAATTGGTATTAAATTTATATACTGACGAAGGTACAACCATGCCAAATTGTGTATCAATATACTTGCCTTGTATCGACTATTGAATCTTAAAATTTGCTGATTATGTTAGGCTTTAATAGTGTTTATAGGTTAGTGATAAATTCAAGCTCACCTTGTGGTTTTTATCTGTTGTAGCTTTGTTGAGTGTTGTCGTCGGTGCTCTATGTTTTAGCCCCCACTTTGTGATATTGTGTTGTTGTATCAGTTCCTTGCTCATTAGTCCGTTAAATGTCCGACCGATGGGGAAGAAGGAGAATTCTTGATGACGCTTTTTTGAATTTAAACAATCCTTCCTTGATGAGAAAACATTTGTTCTCCTTATTTGAAAAGTCATTCAGCCTTTTTGAAGTTTAAACACGCTAAATGGCAGGAAACTGCTTTAGAAATCTTTTGTCTACTGGAAATTGGAGGACTATTAATCACCAGGCCTAATCTCCAATGTTTTTGTTTTACACAGGAATCCTTGAAGACAGAAAGAGAGAGGAAGAGAGAGCTGTACTTTCCATTGAGGAAGTACGCAATTAAGGCGTAATGTCAGATCCAATTAGGATATCGGTGCTTTTCTTGTTATGATCCATTACTAGGATACGCTTAACAGTCTTTTTGCCGCATTTTTTTATCTAATCATTGAGACAAGATTCCAGTTGAGTTTTTGTGATTCTGTTGTTCAATGATATGCCAGTTCTACTTTAATATTGCTACAAATTGTAGCAAACTATGTCATTTTCCTTCGATCTACTTGATCTTGAGTTTCTTGAGTTTCTATTTTCTTGACAAGTGTCCTTGTGCGATGGAGAGATATTGCAATGAAGTACTCTCTCTATTGCAAATGTATAGAAGTATGTTTCTGAAACGGAGATGCTGATTGCTGCTACAATCACTACTATACTTTATGAAAATGAAAATTTTGATAGATTATTTATTATTATTATTATTGTTAAGTTGAATTGGCTCAAGAGCATATGTATGGATTCAATTCCAGTTTCTGAAAGCAGCACACAATATTTTAACTATAAGAAAAACCTGACTTTCAAGTTTGAAGTCCGACATACTCTTCTCACTTTAAGGCTCTCTGTAGTCTGTGAAATATAAGTATACAGTGTATTTTAATGTTGACATTAATATGATTGTTGATACACTAATATTAGAAAATGCATGTATTTGATTTTAGCACCTACAAGGTTAGTAGTTATTGTTCTATTTTTCCTTAGTCATTGAATTTTGAAATTATGGTAATAGTTAATGGCCGAGGTACATATGTATTAGAAAATAATTCGTAGGCTGTTGAGAAAGCCTAAACTCTCAAAGTCCTATGGCCAATGGTTACTTTTGTTTGTTTGTTTGTTTTATTTTCTTTAATATATGTGCAAAATTATTGAAAAACTTCGGAATGGTTTTCTAAATCATTGAATGTTAAACAGAGACAGAAAACATTCATTGTTAAACAGCAACAAAAAATAACAAAGCTTCAACAAAAACGAAAACGGAGCGCAAGTTACGCAGCAACCTTTACTCAAATGAAAAAAAAAAATGAAGAAAAAACGATGTAGGAACATCTCAATGGTACAGTAGTATATTATTTTACTTGTCGCCTGCTTATTTCCTTTATTAATGTCGTTTTGCTGTTGCTTTATATTCTTACAAAGACCGTCGTTTGGGGTCTGTATTCTGCGTTTTGCAGCTCGAGTGTTAAGCCTTCTAGAGAGCTGAGCTCTATTTTTGGTTTTGTTGTTGATTTTCTACACAGAATCCTCTGTAATTTTGCTCCCTTTGAATCCAAACGTTAAGAAAAGTAAGGATCATTCAAAAGTAAGGAAGAATAGTCATTTTAAACTCTTTTCTTCATTTTTTTTTTCTTATAATTACCTTTCAATGTTATAATATAATTACAATATATTATATAGTTATCATATCTTATAATATGTAATATAATATAATATATAATAAAAATATTATATTATAATATAGTTATAACAATATAATAATATAATAATATGATATAATATAATATAATTTATAATATAGTTATAATTATAATATATTTATTTAATATTCTATCCTAATATATTATATATTATAACGTAATTATATCTTATAATATAATATTAATAATA